GGGATTATTAGTCGGTTAATATGCCTAAATCCCCTAGGAGCGATCCTTTCTTCGCTTTTACTTAAATCTTTCAATATAAGAGTTTTCTCAAAAGAAAAGATGGAATTATTAGTGGGTTAATTTGCTTGAAACTTCTAGCTGCGATACTTTTAGGTTTCTTTCCCGGAGGAAAAATGAGTTTAATTATTATTAATTCAATTATTATTAATTTTTTATTAATTTTCCGGAATTAAAATTCCTTCTTTACCTCATATTTTATAAAAAGTGAAAACGTCCGGAAGTTATAAATAAGTCGTAACTCAGAACTGAGGCAAAAACTTAAAGTTATTCAGTGGGTTTTGTACCGAAAGTTCTGTAAGCACTTACCCTTGCAATATTTGTTGACGAATGATTTACGAATATTTATATAAAATCGAAAATCATGCGGGACTGTGCCCAGTTTGCTCTGCAACCAAAAAACTTATCAGAACAAAGGCAACAATTTTTAGTTTTTAAGAATCACTTAGTATTCTGCGCCCAATACACACACGTGCAGACAGAAGCACACACACACATACACACACACACAACCCCTTAACAATATGAGTTCCTACTCATTGCAATAGCACTATAGAGCTGCACAGCAAAAACGCATAAAAAATGATAAATGGCTGACAAGTGAGAGATTTACGTACCTGAAGGCATTGCATTTGAAAGAATTTACCAATGTCCCATGGTCTGAAATATACAAAATTGTTTCTCAATATACAATCTTTTAACTAGCAGTATGCGCATACAATTTAAAAATAGCGAATAATCAAAGTTGGGACCGCAGCTTTTACAATTTTTACGCTAGGTGTTTTAGCAGCGGGATTCGTGCTTGAGCAAACTGTTGAACGGTAACCACAGATGTTAAATTAACAGTAAGACTTCTTTTAGTGGGATGCGAGAAACTATGTGGAAGCTTATACAGAGTTAAATGATGTGAGAATAGGTCAGAATCGAGAATGGAAAAGCCACCAACTGCAGCGATTGTGAGAAGATCGATGAATTAGCACCTGTTGAAAATATCACACTCTATCCATCAAAAACAATTGGGTAGGAGACAAGGGATCAGTTTAAATATGATGTGCCAAAAGAAATGTTTGGATGCACTCTGTATTTCATCCCTTAGCTGTAAACACTGGCTGAACACAGCAACGGGTAGGCATGGGAATCATCAATACGGCTTCTACCTGCCACGTATATGATGTGCATATGCTTTTCCTTCTATTACCTTATCACCTGGCGTTTTTGCATAGCGGTTAGGGGGGCTGTACTGATCATTCTCGGTCCAAACTGTACTTTACGACTGTCGGCGTTTACAGCTAAGGAATGAAACATAGGCAGACTTTTTTTCCTACGTATTCTTTTCCACATAATCTTATAATATGTCATACGGTCTCGTGCTATATGAATCGCCCTACAATCTCTTCCTTTACTTCAAAAATTCCACTTTATTAAATCAATCCCATGCCGGGGTTAAAATTTGTTGGCTCTGGCCGATCCAAATTTTGTTCGCTTCCTGACCGTCCACTTTTGGTTCTTTTTTTTAAAATTACGATTCGCCTTTCAACAGTTACAAATTACAACTGCAGAGACGACAAAAATTTACTGTTGCATAAATTTCAGTAGAACAGATCTCATCAAAATAATGGAAATTTAAAAGATTTCGAGAACTTAATAACGACGGTAATGACCGGAGTCAAGTGAAGTACAAAATATCGTACGGAACTAAACAGGCACATTCAGAAAACCACTAAAATGAGCTATTTCTGGTCAAACGAAACAACTTCAGGGATCAAAAAATGAACAGACCCATCAGTAATGAAAGCATAGTGGACGCCTTTCTGGCCCAGGTGATGAGATTGCATCCAGGCTCGAAACGAATCCAACACATCGATGAACGGCATTGCTTTGTCGACCATCTCCTGCGTAACACCAGTGAGATTGATGCAGAATTCGCTTAAATGCGGATGCAATGTCGGCCGCACATAGGAGTGGAATATATCAACCTGAATTATGCTCATGTTGATTAAAATTTTCACGAGGCCGTACGTGTTACCCGCAGGTACGGGAAGGCTAAATTTAAATATGCTGCGTCACCCGCTGGCGGAGAACACTATACCAAAATTTCAGCCACCTAGCTTTTACAGCTCCCGAGTTGAAAGTGCGGGACAAAATGTGGGACACACACATAAACACACAGACAACCTCGTGACGATATGCGTTCTGTAACGCTGTTACACAGCATAAAACGTATGAAAAACACATAATGCTCATGAAGTAGGATTTATTAACTAGTGCGGAAAAAGGAAGCGGACGCAGTAAAAAATTCTTTCTCGCTTTTTTGCGCCGAAATTATAGCAAGTACTAAAATTCAGCTCGGCTGCGCTATATGCATTAGTTTTTAAGCGCTTTTTTTTTCAATTTGGATGTAATACCGTGCTTTTTGATTCCCTGCCCTTAATTCAATTCAAAGTAGTTCATTCTTGGTCTTGAAATATAAGAGATAGCTTCCCAGTACTAAAATTCGCCAAGAAAACGTGTAAAAAGTGCCGTAAAAAATACAGGACTGCTTCTCCATTCATCAGTAAACAATCTGATTCGACAAGTAGCAAAATTCATCAAAAAAATGTTTCCACATTAACCAGTAAGTAATCTGATCCGATAAGTAGCAAAACTGTATCAAAACAGCAAAATTCATCAAAAAAAAAAAGAGAAAAAAAGTTTTTCTAAGAAAACCAAATTCCCGCTCATGCAATTTATCTGTACGACATGTTCAAGAAATAATAATTCACTGCCATGTCTGCTATCAAAAAACCGTCATTTTCACAGATATTACTAGGATAAAACAGCAGGCTAGTGTAGAAATGTCAGATGCCTATATCCTGCACTACATTCCTTCATTACGTACTTATCAATTCACCAACAAAGAATTCGATTTTCCTAGGAAATCCAGAATCCATGTCTTTTTTTTTCTGACGCGGTAATCCTATGAATAGCGCAAACTGTCGGTAGCATAACTTACGATCTCTCTTCTGTGCACATCGACAAGTATGGCTGGAAATTCGATAATTTCATGCTCATAATCATAGAGTTCCGCTTCGCATGTGCATTCGAAATCCATTACCTGCAAAAGATTCGCCCAAATTAGCAAGTCTTGCAAGTGACTTACTGAGTTAAAAAAAAATTTCCTGGTCTTAGTAAAAAATAAAAAAAAATTTTAAGTAAAAAATAAAAAAATAAAAAAATTTTCCTGGTCCTGCTAAATAAATAAACAAAAATATCAACGGAAGGAGAAAAGAAGAAGAAGAGTACCACAAAATAGTCATAATACATTTCAGTTTTGTATCGTCTCGTATCACCATTTTTTATGATTGTAAATTCTTTTCGGAAATG